TTGAGCCAGGCCATTTTATCAGCTTCACCATACAACTGAGTCAGCATGCTGTTCTCCTCCTCGTTCTGTGGTAAAGCCAGCTCTAAGCCTCGTTGGGAGCAGAAGTCTACGGCCTTCGAGAAGGAGCCTCTCTCCTTGTTGGACACAAAGAATTTCTCACCAACGCTCCGGACAAAATCAAAGTTTATTGCTGAAAGAAGAAAGCAGCATGCAGTAAATCAGGTTTACAAACACAAGGGAAATTGTAGGAACAAATGCCATTTTATTTGTGGTGTGCGGATTCTCTAACAGTGTCCTATATATTATAAATACAGCATTAAAAATGTGTCTTCATATACTGGCGTGTGTAAACGTCCAGGCACCCTGGGTGACGTTGGTATTGTTTAACATTTTTATGGAGCATTTTAAAAACAAGAGAAGCAAAGAAGTAAACAAGACCTCTGCAGCAAACAGAACAGACTATTCAAAAAATCTGATGACAATCTAACACATTCTCTGACTCTTCAAATGTTGTGGTGGGCTCTTCTAAGCAACTGGCTGAGATGAAAGTGAAGTTCCATTTTCATACATCAATCATGGACAAAAGTAAAAGTGCTACATGTACCTTAGAAATATTGCGGCACAGGTACACACACAAAAATAGTATTCTGCAATAACATAACTAAAGCACTTTAGCACTTTAAGTTACAGCTGTAAGTTATCACCATCCACATGCGTTTACTTCTTATAATGGTCCTTTGTGAACCTTGAATAGGCCACTTACCCAGCTCTAGTACAGCAATCGTCCTATTTAAGGCCTTAACGTCCTGGCGTACAGGCTCAAAGGAATCTGGATGAAGAAATGTAAGGTTAGCTACCAAAGTTACACGTAGTTGTAAGATACAGCTGTAGAAAATGGAAAGTCTTCAGGATTAACTCATATTCAGTGATTGATTGCAGTTGAGGTTTTATAGGTTATTATTCTTGTACATAATATATGTTATATTGATTTAAAAAAAAGAAAAAGAAAAAGAAAGGTGAGCTTTTACAGAATTGAATTTCCCTTCTGGGATGAATAAAGTATTTCATTCGTTATGTAATTAAAATGAGAATCCCAAAGTGAATTAACACAGTTTCCCAACAAACACATCACAGAAGCAGAATTGCTGTAGAGCTGAATGATATTTATAGAATTATGTTTTCGTTTTTATGTGTCTACACGTCGTGCAACAACTAGCACACGTGGAGATAGAAAAAAATCCCCAACTTCCTATGATAATATTATTTAACTACGTATTGTTTTACTGCTGGAAGCAAAGTTGTAATATTGCAGTTACTCAAATTATGTAAGAAACGTTGTTACCTTGTCCACACATTATAACTGGTCCAGGACGTCCAACTGGTCCAGAAGCTCCACGGTTTCCTGGGTCCAAACAAGAACAGGTAAAAAGAAAATGACTGAAATAAAATATGACTAAAAAGCCAGATCCACATTAGACAATATCAAAAACAAAATGCTGGAAAGGTGAAGATCACAGAAACAACTTGATTGATCTACTGTCTTTAGTGCAACAATAAAAAGTTTGCTCTGAAGATGGTACCAGTTGAAAAGGCTTGTTGTTATATAAGTCAGAAGAGTTTATCCTCTGGGGAGCATGACATATCCAGAAAGTTGAGTTTCCCTCATATTTTGACCTTTAAGATGGTTTATATACAGGTGATATTTTTCACTTCCTGAAAGGATGAGCTTTAATCCTAAAAATGGTTCATTCTTTGATGAGAACAATGTTGCGTCAAGTGAAGACTTAATATACACTGTTGTCCATAAAGTTGGAATAAATTTTATATATATATATATTTTTTACCTCTTCTCTATCCATCTATCCATCCATCCATCCATCCATCTTCTTCCACTTATCCGGAATCGGGTCGGGTTCCCTCTTCTCATAAAATAATTATGACAATGTGATTTATTCTTGATAGATAAAGTGTATATCTTCTCAAAATGCTATTGATATCATATTATACCTTGCAGTAAAAATTAAACCACAATTAGCTTTTGCAAACTGTGTTTTCAGTCTTAAACTAAATTGGGAATATTGAACAATAGGATTAAAGGTTTTGTTTAAATTTTTCTAACTTTGGTCACTTTAACAGGAAACACATATTTGAGGGGATTTCATGCTTGAGAATGTCTAATATTACTCTTTCAAATGTCCCTCAGTCACTAATATTGAGTCTGGCCACCCCTGACACAGATCAATGCGTTAAGACATGGTGGCATACTGTCCACCAGCTTGTTGATGGTGCCAATAAGCAGGACGTCCCACTCTTCAGTCAGATCCTGAATTTAGAATTCATTTCACCTGGTAACTGGGACTCAGTGTGTAATCACCTGGTAACTGGGACTCAGTGTGTAATCATTGCACCTGGTCAGAAATGATTACTGATGTGTATAAATAGAAATATAAAGAGGAATGTGTTTGAAAACAAAAAGTATTCCAACTTTATGGGCAACAGTGTAAATAATACAGGTGACATCTGAGAAACCCTACACAACCAAGGCTGAACAATTTGTCACACCACACTAGTGGAGACAACTTCCCCACTGAAGGGTTAAAAACATCTTTTTATTGTTTTGATTTTTTCCTCAAATGTATTCATACCTGTCATTTTTCTTTACAGAACTTTTCATTATAAAAGTAAAATGGTACATGAAGGCTGCAAATAAATAACAATTATCTCACTATGGAAGAAGAAGGGGGGAAAAAAACAAACAAAGAAAAGAAGTTTTAATAAGAATCCATGTTTTCCCAGTTTTTTTTCCAATTACATTTTGCTTAAGCTAATATACAAACACTGGTATAATACAGAAAACAAATAAAGGATGAAGTGTCATAGGACTGTGATGGGTTTTGTGATATCGTCAAGAAATGAAATGTCTGCCATATGTTAGAATTTCTGATGACATCTCAAATCCAGTTTTTTTCCTTGAATAAAGCACCATGCAAGGTTTATGGGCCAAGTTTCAAAACAAGGTTATGCTTCCACATTTCAGACTTTAAGAATCGTCTTCTTGGCAATGACCATTCTATAACAGATGGACACTGTTTATTCAGGGGCTTAGACCTTCTAGTTGTTGAGACCAGCCTAAATTGGCTGTTTCTGGCTCCAAAGTCAGGTTTTGTGCATACAATGAAAAACTTCAGGCCAAAACATGGTGAGTCTGGTACACAAACAAAACATATGACCCAACATTCTGTCAGGTTATTTACACTTAATTCAAACAGATGATGAGGACTGGTAGTATAAATGTAGTGTAACATGAGAGTAATGAAGCCTGTATAGACCAGGGGTGTTCAATTAAAAGTCACTGAGGTCCAGTTATTAAAATTTCCTCCAATTAAAAGGTCCTAACTGAAGTCCAGTTTGTGTCTTATAGCCTTGCCCTATGGCCACCTTTTCATGGTTTCAACCATACTTATTGTCAATTTCACTGCAGGATATGTTTAACTGAGTGCACAGTTCGCTATTTTACCATCTATACAAGTAGTCCCAGGCAAAAAAAAGGCTTTAATTTCAGATTAGAGAAAACAAAAACCTCAGAATAAAATACTTTTTTTTTTTTAAAGTGCAAACAGAGCCGAATAACCCTTTTATCTCTTAAATTAAAGAGATCCCAGCCTCAAGAAGTGAAGGCCTCCACTTCAAGTAAAAAAGGTTTAAACAAATAAATTAAAAGGTTTCGTTTGCCCGCTGCTGGGCTGTAAATGTATGCGTGATGAGTGGCATAGATCTGTCATACTGGGCTTGCAGCTCGGTTATTTTGCGTGCCCTCAGCTCGGACTTCAGGATAACTTTGCTCAACAGAGCTGCCTGACGGAAGAATGAACATACATTTTTCCGTCCATTAATCTTTAAAGCAGCGGTTTTCCTCATCAACCTTATTTCTTTGGGAGCAAGCCATACTGTCATCACAGTCTCTTCCTCTCTGCTCTGCTGTACAGGCAGCGCAAAGTGGCAACGAGCTGTGGCGGCGCGCCGCCGTGCAGGGTAACCAAACGATTTGATTGGCTGAACTGAGTGGCGCTATTACCGTATTAACTGGAGTAGCAGCGTCCGTTGTCTATAGCCGTGACCGTCGGAAAAAATGCCCCATGAAAATCTATTCTCATGAATTTATCAGAGATTGGTCACGGGTCTGGACAGAACCATCACTCGGTCCGGATGCGGACCTCGGTCCGCCATTTGGTGATGCTGGATGTATAACCTCAGACTGAATTAAGCATGTCTTGAGTTAACTGTGCACACCCTGAGTTCACTCTCCCGAGGGGCCTTCAGGTGCTGTGTACATGAAGCATAACCAGCTTTTTAAGCGACACCACAAAACCTCTAGCCAGCACTTATTTACATCTTGATTCTTTTTCTGTTCTTTTCCTATATTTATTATTTTATTTTATTATTGGTGGAATTAAATCCCGTGCGAAATGTAATGTAAGTCCAATTCAACACAACTTGGTCACATGCATTTTTGTGAGAATAAGTCAAGTTAGGGTTAGGGTCACACTTAACACACTTTATACATGCATTTGTTTGCTCTGCTCTTCTTTTTGCAGAACACAATGGTGTGCCAAAGATTAAATTCAGCATGACCTAGTCAGAAGTCGTCTGAGAGACAGAGAGAGAGACAACAGTTGTTGTAAAGTCAAGGAAACCTGTCTTTCACCTGCTATGCCTGGTGGTCCTGGGGGCCCAGGCTCTCCCATGTCACCTGTGGGACCAGGAGGACCTTGAAGCTGATTGTAGGCAGTCGGAGCCATCAGGCAGAGGATGTAGAACAGGAGACACAGCCTCATCTTCTAAATGCAGGATGAAAATCAATATGAATTCTGCTTTATATTTTTTCTATTGACAGTTTTAATGTGAAATATTTTAGTGTCATTTAACACGATGTGAATTCAGAGTAGTTGATTTCACAGTTCAGACAGTAAAACCACTCATTTGTAATAAAAATTATATGACTTGTGTAATTTCCACATTGTTGTACTTAAAACATGTATTTACTGTTCAACACAACTATACAGTAATGTTAATCTAGATCTAATTTTTGACAAAAAAAATTAAAAAAGAAAAGAAAAAAAGCAACAAAGAAAAAACTTACAGTCCAAACAGGAATAATCTCCAAAATGTG